AGTGTGGATTCCGCTCGAGTCGCAGCACTATAGGTATGCTGTTGGCGGCTCGTCAGTTGCATAAGAAGTGCAGAGAACGACACCAGCCACTATACTCCCTTTTTGTTGATTTTACCAAGGCATTTGATACGGTGAACCGCGAGTCATTGTGGCTGGTGTTGGGTAAGTTTGGATGCCCGTGTACGTTTGTAACTTTAATTGAATGTCTGCACAGTGGTATGCGAGTGAGGGTGTATCTGAGTGGAGAGACCTCGGGTGACTTTGCAGTTGTCTCTGGTGTGAAGCAAGACGGTGTCTTAGCTCCTACCCTTTTTAATATATATCTTCGTGCCATGATGTCTTGTGCTTTTGAATCGGCTTGTGCTTACGATGTTCGTGTGGAGCACCGTATTGACGGTGGGTTGCTGAACATCCGCCGTTTCGGTGCGAGGACTCTAGTCTGTGAGGCAACTATCCGTATTTTGCTGTTTGCTGACGACTGTGCGTTGTTTGCACACAGCGCGGATCAGTTGCAGTACATGACTAGTGCTCTGGCTTCGACAGCGGCCAAATTCGGGCTCACCATCACCATAAGCGAAACTGTCTGTCTCTTTCAGCCTTCACCGGAGGTGCAATCTTCAATATTGCCGCGAATCAGCATTGGTGCTGAAGTATTGGAAACCACCTCGCGCTTCTGTTACCTTGGGTGTGTGAAGTCGACTGATCAGCAGCTACACAATGAGCTGCGTATACGCGTGTCGAAGGCAGCGGCGGCATTCGGGAAGCTAGAGTACCGAGTGTGGAACAACCATCAGCTTACCATTGGCACGAAGCTGATGGTGCACAAATCCATGGCAGTGAAACGTCGACGATGTACCGTTGGGATGTGCGATATCTCGAGCGGTTCCATCAGTAGTGTTTGCGACGAATTTTGCGCATTAGTTGGAGCGACAGAGTTGCTGACGCGGAAGTGTTGCGACAAAGTGGGATGTATGCAGTGGACTGCATGCTTTTACTGAGACACCTGAGGTGGCTCGGTCATGTGGGCCGTATGGATTCGAGGCTGATACCGAAAAACTCTTATACGGTCGGATGAGTATTGGAAAGCGGCATGTGGGGAAACCAAAGTTACGTTACCAGGATATGATCAAAGTGATCCTCTCACGTACTAATCTTGATTGCAGGTCATGGGAATCGAAGGTGGTTGATCGTGGTGCATGGCGCGATCTAATCACGAAGGCAGTTGCCGAAGTGCGGGAGAAAGACCTCATACATTCAGAGAAGAAGCGACAAGTGCGGAAGTGGCAAGTACCGATGGGTTGTACTCCATCGACATCGTGCTCGTGGTGCTGTGGCACATGCGGTCGCGAGTGCCTGAGTCAGGCAGGCCTAGTGAGCCATGAGCGAGGCCACTCGGGACCACTACCGAAGCGACGACGGGTCCTGCAGAGAACGTAGGCCGAACCGGCGCAGCGTTTGTAGGCACGCTGCATTCGATTTACTAACCGCGTGCTTGCATGCTAAGTCTATTTATTTCAGGTGGTTGGTTTTCAATTTTGTCCTAATGCTTTTCTTTCTCATATACATGCCTACCTATCTTCTATAAACTTGCACACGTCGCTTAAGCTAATTATAGTTAATTTCGACAACATCTCTGTTTTTGGCATTTCCGTAAGATATACTTTCCGACCTTGTGAACTCCCGGATTCGTTTGTAAACAACTTATTTCATATGCTCATTAATTTAAAACTTGTCACCGTTTTCTTATGCACTACTCGATTTATTTTATTTATTATCTTTCTCTCAAGTGATTGGCTGTTGGTTGATATCTCCGGTGTGGCTGCGCTTGATGTGCATGTTGACAAGGTGCCTACCTGTCTATTACCCACTACCTCGTCCATACTGGCTCCAGGAGACAGTTGGTCGTTGCTGGAGGGGACGGTGTGCACTTTACTTGTGGCCTTGTTAGGCTTGAAGTGTGGTTGCATGCACTCAGTGTGGAGCGGACTACGGTCCAGCCACCGCCTTGTGTGTGCTTGATACCCCAAATACAGCGTGCTTGTGTTTGCCTGTGAAGGAGTCTGGGCCGGCTCCGTTGATGAAACGTCTCTCCCATCCATATGCCTCCCGGTCTTATTGCTTCAGGTTTACACTGGATATGGGGTGTGTGGATGGAGCTGTGGGTGGTGCAGAGCAAGCCACCGATAGTCCCTATGTAGGCGCAGGTGTCCTGTGGCTGGGCACAGTGACAGGCAAATCCGAGACCGGATGCCGCCAACCATGCTTCAGTGCCGCAGGTGGGTTACACTGACTTACACTTAGACTCGACACTCGCTCGTGAGGTCACTTTAAGGTTTCTTATTCTTTTTGTTATTTATTGTGCTATTCCTTTCCTCCGCTTTTAATAGTCAATTAAACGTCTTCACCGGGATCCAAAATTCTGAAGCACCGTTTCTAAGCTTCTTTCCTCTCTTGGACTTGGATGCAGTGCATAAGCATGAACTTTCTTTATTCCCCGTTACCCTACAAATCAACACGCGTGACAACCATTTTGCGAAGTCATCCCATTTGCTCGCATCTCACTGTTAATTGGTGGTGAACCTAACCTCATTCATTTTTTCCAGCGCACTCGTAGACGCGCAGTTTTTATCCTCTTAGTCCGCTCACCCTCACTTTGATCACTATTATTGTTGTCGTATATCTCTACACTGTGGTCATTGTCACTGCCCAGCGCTTGGAAGCGCTGAATTAAGTCCTCTGACGGCATTTCGGTCATGGGTCTGCTAATCGTATTGAAGCATATTAATCACCCTGGTTTCTCACCCACTTGGGGACTAATAAACATGAATAATGTATTTGCTTGGAGCATATCGACTGCCAACATAACGATCACTTAATCATGATCTCTCTCATCTACTTCTATCGAGGTGGATGCATCACAACAGCTACTATCCATGAATATCTCGCTTCGAACTACATCAGAAATTTTCAGTGCCCATCCGACTTACCTGTGTATGATTCTCCAAATTTCGGTGTGAACTTTCAGGACACTGCTCTTGGTAAATGTTCTGTTCGGTGTTACACTACGTGTCCCTGTGGTGCGACACTTCTCTTCTTATCACGCTTTACGTGAGTTGATCAGAGCACGCTGAGACACATCCTAGTCTTCTTTTAAGCGTCCCAGTAGGGCACCACCTCGATATACCCTAAATACCCTTTTTCCGATTGGCACTGATCCACCAGCGTGACATTTGCATAGCAGTTCATCGAACCGACATTTTCCGCGCATTACTATTTGACTCGAATCGGCAGCGCTACCATTAAATCTGCAGTTACAATCATTACTTCCTTGATTTATTTCTGAGTGGTTCACACCGTCCACCTCCCCCTTCGAATTAGTGCAAATAGTGCATTTGGCAACGGGATGCCCATTAGATTATATTTTGACTTATACCGTTCCTGTTCTATCATTTCTCCAATAACATGCCGATAACATAAGATATTTGGGGGATCATTTTCCTCATCCTCGGAGTCTTGGCTTTTGAAGCATCTGCAGTCATTTGGCCAACGTCGAGTAATGCTTACTGAACATTCTTGCGGTGATCATTCTGCAACCTGGGCGATGGTAATTGGTTAACTTTTGTTGTTACAGCCACGTTGTACATTGGCTCAACTATACAATGAGTGCTGAAGGAGCAAGCTTTCGGTCACACTGGACTGGATGCTTTTCCCAACCTATCCCAGTTTGCGCTTGTTCCCTTGGCGCTCTACAATCAGTCTATCTACTCCGTGATACAAAAGTCACCGCACCCGCTGTGCCTAGTGGCCTCACTGTCTTGTCGCAGCCCTGTACCCACTCTCTAAGCGTTTGGCGCCCATCTATTCTCTGTGCATTCTCGTCATATTAGCTAAGGCCAAAAAGCTTCAGTATCATGGATTATGGATAGTATGGTTTTTGCGTAACCTGGCCCCATCCACTTGTGCACAGTGTCTGGATTGTTTCAGGTCCTCCCATACTTTACAAATGCATATATCTCGCGTGTCTTAACTACGAATGCGATACGCATTTTTGCGGGCGTGTGACCTGATGTTTAAATACAGTGTTTGTCCAACTCATGGACACTTATAGTTGAGAGAAAAAAGCATGCCTGTTGGATCACGGTGCTCGGTGTATAGTTACTTACCGAGCCTAGTATCATCTTTAGAAAGTCATCCCTGTGGGATGACGAAATCGCATGTACTACGCGAGTGCACAGTCCTCATATTCTTCAAAATATGTACATTGGATTTCTATTAGGGTTGCCCAACTTGTATTGAATACTTGTGCGCCGAGTTTGTGCGCCTTTTCCTCACACCAGACCAAAATAGTCGCGAAACCGAGCGCGTGATGTATGCCTTTCTTTCCCCAATTCCGTCTTTTGGGAATTACCCCACAGAGGCAGGGAGTGGAGAAGCTTTTGTTTACGTGTACCAAAGTGTGCCACACCATTTTGACATTTATTACCTTAGCATCCTCTGCTTTGGGACACAGTTCGCGTTCTTTGTCGCATTACGTCTGTCCACCATTCCTTACTTTCTATGAAGAAACTTATGCGTGCCGTATTATCTCACAAGCTGACTCGGATGTGAGCGATTATTGTGCTCTCCGCCGAAGCCTATCCTATGGAAAATCTTCGTTCCGAAGTTACGTTACCCATGAAAATGACGTGGTGCTTACCTCAATCAAATTGCAAAGCGTCCACTAACCGCACGTGTTCATTACGTCTCAGCTGTCATTTGCTTTAATCTCACATGTGTTTCAGACCGTGCGCTCCTCAGCAAAGTGCAGGCACGTTAGAATGGTGCCGTAACGTTTTATTTTCTACTTTATTACTTGACTAAAACCATCAGATGTTTGTACATTTGCCTCAGTTTCACGTAATTCTTAAGTTTGAGCATTTGACACACAATATCGCCGAGATAATTCTCTCCCCCTACAGTTGATACTTAACGGAAATGATACTCTTATCTCTCTGTTCCAGCATGCAATCCGTGCTGCGTGAGATTCTTCTGGCCAACGGTTCTCAGTGGAAAAATCTTCGATTCACCGGTAAGCCGCATGTTACTATGTTTCATCTACCACCGTAAATTAAACTCTCTTCTTCCATACACAGGTTTCCTACCCTTGTGGCAATGATCGGGTCTGTTGGTCTGAAAGAAAGCGGAACCACCGACGCTGAAGCTCGTCGTACACGCTGAAAGTGTTTAGAACATCTCATTGTGTTTCTTGCATATGTATATGCACATGTATAGTAAAGAAGGATTCTGGCATAACTCGTGCGTGCATCGATGCACGCGCGGGCACATACAATGACATCCAGCAACAGATGAATAGGTGTGCACCATTCATTAGAATACACAAACAGCGGCGAGCGCTTCTGATTCAGAATAATAAATTGTTTGTCTATACGGCTGTTGACTGAACTGGGGCGCCGCCATCACAGCTGTTCCCAAGTATGTTGGCCTTGTATAGATGCGTGACTTTGCCTTAGCTGCCATAAAAATGCAGGAAACTGGGTGGTGTTCACCCTCGATTCGATGAGCGGTCTCTTTGAGTTGGGCGATCATGAATGACCAGGATAGATAGTATATTATTTATTTTCTGATCTCTGTGTATACGCATCATAGAGGAGGGGGTTGAGAAGAGTTTCTTCCTTTTCGAATGACGTCTGATGGGTAAACCGATTAGGACTGGCATGAGACCAGTTTGGCGTTGTGCATCCTTTCTAAAAAGAAACTTCTGATTGTTAATTTCAAGGTATCATAACTTTACACAGTTTTTATATACAATTTCAATCTTCTGATCGCCTCACGGCACTTCTTGTGTCGAGAGAAAGATTGCACGTGTCTGCTCTCCATTGGAGTTAGGCGTACCCCTCAGCTTTGACGTTTTGATTGCGTGGACGACTGAGTGCGCGGAATTGTGCTTACTTGACTCGTTTACCGGTACGGCTGGTAATGGCCGACTGTTCCAATGTGCGTAGGGAGCGGAGACCCATACTGATTCCGTACAGCCCGATGTACTGGGTGGGTTAACAGCCACACTCACCGGGGTGACGAAGCGAGACGTGCTCACCGGGTTGCACTCCCCGGCGCTCACCAGTGGCGGCACATTTTGTGTGTACTTATGTGTGAGGTGGTTTTGTCTACAGATTGCATTGGATCGTGTATACTCTGCTGGGGTACCTGGCGCTGTTGTACATGCGCTAGCGGTGCGCGCGTTGAATGCATTTCCAGTGACAGCCGGCATAGCTGCGGTCGTTTGAATTTGATCTTCCAGTCTTTTGATGCGCGCGAGGTATTTTCGCTTAGCTTTCTCATACGCTCCGATCAGTGCAGTATTGGCTCGCTTCAAATCGTCCACCAACTCCTCACTTTGAAGTTGTTGGAGTTCGCTGCTGTGTCTCAGGGCCTCGAGAGCTTGAAGAAGATTCTGACAAATGGTAAAAAGAATGTTGCTGATTAGTTGTCTTAACCTGTCAGTGTGTGAGCACATACATATTTGAGCAAATTGAAAAACAGTCGCGTTGCATGCAATTTATTTACTTGCTTTATTCCAACCACCTACTACTAAGCTTTATGGTGTATCTTCGTGGTTCCTTTGATGGTTGGACACATTTCTAGAATTCAATGATTGTTGCATCTGATTCGCTTGTTCACTATTGAATGCTCAACTTCAGCTTCGCCTAGCTACGCCACGTGCGGATGCGTGCGTAGTGATGCCATATGGTCCCCGAATGTATCATCCCCAACACCCGGCCCCTATCATTCATTGCCCTGCGTTTACCAGCTGATAATTTCCCTCCGACATTGAAGCCCGATCGATAGTGTCACCTAACCTCTGTCGTTTGAGATCATGAAAGAGTCCATACCACCACGCGCGCAACTCACCATTCCGGGATAGTACCAGGAATACTGCGTGGATGTCCATACACATGCTGTGTACCTTAAACTATGGAGACATTGACCTGTCTTAGTTATTTTTGTCACTTTTAGATGGACTTCACTATTCGATTTTTCTTAATTACGCGTATCTGTTCTGCTCCACCTATATGCATTCTTAAGTAAAGTGGAAGCGATCAATGCAGTTATCGTGTTGCTGCACAGATTGCGTCCACTACCATCCTCACATCCTTGCGTCCATACCACCTGGTAATCAATTATTCCTCCTGCTTACATCCTGGTGCCTTTATTTCATATTACATTCACTAACTGTTCCATTTCCTCGTGCTCTATGCACGGTGGAATATCTCTTATGTGTCCAACCCCTACACCCGTTCTAAGAAATCCCGTTACTAACGTCACGATAACACCTAAGGGACTTACGTTGCTGGCTGCTTCGTGGGCTTTCTTCACTAGACCTGGCAACGACATTTCCGGTTATACGTGTGCTACTGAGGGGCGATTGTTACGCGCTTATTTATATTTGTCAAACATAGCTCACTGTACGACTTACACGCACCATCATTCAGCCCAACGGCCAGACCTTTCTTCGAGGCAGCGTCATCTGCATGATGCGGACTCGCGTTGTTCCAGGTCATCTAACTTCACATGGCGTGCAGGTCAACCACCTAAGTTGTTTGGCTCATAAGTTACACGCCTGCACTATTGTTCTAAGCCATTGATGTTTTCCGGAACATGTACACAAAAGGCAGTTCATAAGGAGGTGTGAATTCGACGTATCCCCGATGCAGTAGCCTGGCCTCTAAAGCGGACAACAGATGTGCCTAGCTTTTCCTTTACACGTACACACACACACACACACATCAAGATTGCACGAAGCTCTTAAGCAGCAGTTTAATGGGCAACGCGTGCAGCCGAGCCTTTGCGTTGGGATGACTAAACACAGGTTGCAATGTTTTGTACCGCCCACGGGAGTGGTGCTCTAGATGTACTCGATCCAAGGTTCGAACTGCAAGTCAAATCCCGCTGGCTATGCAATGATACTCTTTAGGTGACATTACATTTTCAAATAGGATATCCCGCTGATTAATTCTGCTCTTGGACGACAATTTTTGTTGTCTTCAGGTAAATAATTATCTGAGTGGGATGTACATCTTGGAGCTGACGCACGTGAATATACCTCTCGTGCAGTAGCATCCTAGATGAGCTGTGCTACCGTCTGCAGTTGCTGGGGCGGGCACCTCGCTAGATGCATGCAAAATGGGACCCGGTTGAGGATACAGATCAGTATAAGTCAGCAAACGACGTAGCAGTTGTTTAAAAATGACATCTCTTGTATGTGAAATAAATTTCACGTTCGCAATCGCGACACCAGTTACTTTTGATGCGATTTCTTACTGCCCAGAATCCGTAGGCGCTCTTCGTCTCGTCCGTTGGGCAATATATTGTTTCGAATATTCAACTCATCTTGTGTGGAAAATCAATGAACCAGTTCACGTTCATGCTCTCTCTGAATTCGGTGTTCCAATTAAAGTAACCTTTCATCGCTACGATTTGGCCACTCGCCTTAAACCATTTGACCTCGTAAGCAAGGCGTTGGGATCCTCTGTGTGGCTTTTTAACCTTTCGACGCGCTACTGTGGCAGTCATTTTGTCATCCGATTAAGTGATTAAGGTACCATCTAGGTTCTGGACCCTATTCCGAATGTAACCTCTGTGCAACCCCATGCTACATTAACTGCCCATTCGTCTACTTGGGCTTGTGTGATCTCATAGCGGTAGGCACTCTGTCGCGTTCTGACCTTGTCCGTCCATTTTCCCAAACCAAACCTTAATGTGTCATCATTTTGTTATCTTGCCACATAGAACCAACCCAGGGGCACTAAAACTATGAATCGCCGACTGTTCGCCGAAACGGCGCTTCGCTGCCACGCGACTACCACCAGTCGCGCGCGGGCTGAATATACCGCGAGTACGTCCACCCCTACGCGGATTCGAACCGGTAACCTTATGGTTGCAAACCTGGGGCGCAGCCTACTTGGCCATCAGCCGACACAGTGGCACTAACCAGCTCCGTTATTGGTAGCTTACCTTCAACCGCCCCACATAGTGAACATTGGCGTTCGATGCAATTAGCTATCTTGTCTCTCACTGTACTTGTTTGTCTGACACCAATCTACTTATCTTCTTGGAGACTAAATGAAAAATAAGCTACATTCGATATTTTGTGACGAATATCAATAACGCAGTCAAGCAGTGCAGGCACGTCACCAACTTGTGGCATCCATATGGTTTTCTTCCACAAACTAGCTGCATGCTTCCCTTAGCCGCCTCTTGTGATCGGGTTAATACCCACTAAACTCGAGCACCCATTCGTCGGTACTTCTTTCCCTTCCCTATATTCTCGTTGTTGCTGCTGCTATTCAGCTGTAGTTCACTCGGTACTGTGGAAGTTGACAAACTCAACACAGAGTTTAACTCATCATCATCATCGGACATGTTCCCCCTACCTTACTTCCACAGCAATGATCACTATCTTAGTTGACCACATCAGTTCAGAGTGAACTCACAAGCTGAATCCGAACAAGATTAGTGACCCTGATGCCCTGTCAATAATCGCTCTAATATTTACAACCAGTAGTTAACAACTTAAAAGCAGCTAGGATAGCACTAATGTCTAAGAATGTATCACTGATGTATAGGCCAATAACAGGCACCTCTGCGCTGTTGAAGGTGCTTGCAAAACTACTTACACTTTTATTTGCACAGTCTTACAGATGACATCAAACAATTTGCTTACAAACCAGGATGGTCTACACTGGATACTGTTTCTTGTCCTATACATTCTACAGCATCTGCTTTTGATTAAAAAAATGCAACACCGTGTGTCCCCTTTTCCTCGATAACACTAATGCTTTTGGGGGATTTAACGGATCATTTTTGATCGAAAATGGCATCCCTTATACGTAATGCGTGACTTATATATATTACGTATACTCCTTCACACCGCTAGAAGGTCTTCCGCAATTCCAGGCAATTGCGATTTTGCAAGGAGAGAGATCCCCTTTTCCGGTCCCCTCTATGTCTGCCCATTCCATGCAGTTTCATCGGATGTAAAAATGCGCTGATGATGTCGTCTTAGGGTGCATAGCCTCAGTAATTGAGGAATCTCCAACGTGGATTAGATGAACACTTGACTCAGTCAAGCTCCCAGTCCCTACGTCCTAACCTTGTAAGCCTTGTGATGTAACGTTTTCTTCGTCCTGACGGACTGCGTTCCCTTGTACAGACCGCCCCTCCTTTGGTCATGAGTGACCAAACCACCCCTTGTTTTACCATTTGTCCTTGCCCGCACATAATCTTTAAACTCTTCAAAGAACCAAGAGGCTGTCCTTTTACCCCCACAAGCTCCAAATGTTCTCCATATCCCATACTCTAAGTGTAAGGTTTGTAACTGCCTGTATACTCCTCCCATCGGTTCTACTGTTCCCCTGTTGTTTTTCCCGGACTTCTAAATGATTATGCTCTACATTTTCGTTTGCTAAAATTTGTTCCACGATGCTCTAGATTAAAAAATCCCTCGTTGATTTTGACGTTAGCAAGCATTGTAACGCATGCCTCCAGTTTTCATCAAGTATTCTAAACGACCGCTCTCACTCCCTACACACTGTTCTAACCAGTATGGCACTTATTTCTCCCACATAAACGAAAAAGTTTTATTTTGTGTCGCAACTCCATCTTGCGCCATCAGTCACGCTTGTTAGTCGACCCAACAGCGAGGATGCACCAGTTGCGAGACCATTTACTTGAGTGAAAATGTGCTCTTTTGTTTTTTTTGTCACTTTGCACTTTTTCACTGTTGCTGTGTTGTAGTAAATCCACAACATTCGTGTAAATTTCTGAAAGTCCTCCCACATGGGTGTATAAATCTTATCTTTACCTGACTTTGCTTGAATATTTGTGTGTCCCTGCTTTTACTAATTCATCGTTTCACTAGTCGCCATATGTTGAATGCTTACTCTGCTGAGGCTCGAAGCCGTCATTACTACAACAGCTCAGTGGAATCAAACAGAATTAACTCGCTTGTTTTACTTATCTTACTCTTCATAATTACTCATGCCCTGTGAGTTTCTTTCTACTCATAATCTTTGAAACAAGCTTCCACTGTGAGTCCAGTGGTTTCGGGAACGATGTATTCGTGCTTTCACTAAGTACTGTCTTTCTGAAAACTTTTGATTCTTCTGCGCTCTAATGAAGTAGTGCCTCGGTAGACATCATCTCATGTGTATTTGCATCCAGATAAAATCCTCTGGTTGTTAGTTTTCTTTTGTCTCAAAGCTGAACTGCGTTGTGGGTCATTTTCAGACAGATAAATCAGGCAAGACTTTCCAAGTCAACAAAAACAGCTCGTTTGGATTTGCCGATTTTCTGATGATTCAACCGACAAAAGTGGTCAGCCCAGACAGGTGGTCAACAACATGCACTTTCCTAACCCTCTATCTCACCTCAAAGAGACACCATTTTCGTTCGGTTTGACACCCAAAGCGAGGACAAACGTGAGAAAGTTGTGCAAATTTAGTAGTGCCGGAATGTAAAACCCCATCCGCGTGCACATGATGTGGGGACGAGACGGTATTGTGCACAACCAACAAATTCCTCTTTCATCCTGACCCTATCCTAGTCTCGTCTACCTGAGTTACTCATCAGACACTGCCGGTTCGCGAATCGTCATTCAATAAATAACCCACACGAGGGTAGTGCTGTTCATCTAAAGTGGCAGGTCCAGTTCATACCCGCTCGAGATTTACTCGATGGAGATTCTTCCTGAGGTGCACAGACTATTTTGTTCTCCTTTACTGTTAGAGCGGTCACATCTTGGACTTCGCTTTGTGTTTCACTTTTAACCAAAAGCAATATATGTACGCTGGTAACCTAGGTGTCCTAGTAGCTGGCTCATCAGTTTACTGCACGGATATATGAGTTACGAGGTACACAGTCGAGTCAAACCTCGAAGCTCTACATTTATCGCAGCAGGCACACCACCCCGAAGGGCTGTGTACTCACTAATTATGTATTTTTTAGTTAACTGAAATAAAACGCTCTTACCCTAACTTGTCCACGCAGCAGTGCTACCTCTGGTTGACCGTCAATAGGGTTGCATTCTTTTCCTCCGTTCTCCTCTTGGCTGGTTCGACGACATTTCCGTTCCACTGTGAGCGCATCCAAGTGGGCTCGAAGGGCACTTTCGGCGGCTCTGTGGCTCTCCAACATCAGCCGATTAGCGTGCAGCTCTTTTTCCAGCAGATATACGCGGGCCTTGAGGTCTGCGCGCTCTTCCTTCACGCAGCATAACTCCTGAAAGAGACCAAGTAGGTTTCGAAACCTGAACTAATGACCTAAAGTTCTCTGAATCCTGCTTCGTGTCACAGGTTATTGGTTGATTCATTGGAGTAATTGGAAGTGATGGGGTTAATTCCAATTTTTATACATTGGTTTCTTAAAAAGGCATCTGCATGAAAATGAAGTCGGCTTTTCTTAGAGAATCACATCCATTCACCCTAAATTTGTGTTTACCGTAACAATCAAACATTTATGTATGTTCCTCTCGTTAAGTTTCGTTGGGTAAGGTAAACTACATTTAATGGCCTCTGCGAGACTTACCTGCAGTAACACAGCATTCTCCAATAGCACATTTAGGGGACGTTTTCCGATCGAGGCAAGCGATATGGACTGTAAACGAAAATGGATAGTACTGCAACAAGCGATCGCAGGGCATGTATGAGTCAGAATATGTCATGCATTGAAATCGGTGCTTTTATTTGCCTTCGACTTTTATCTTGATAGCTTACAATTATCTAACAAAGGGTCTTCTTTAATCCACCGAGACTCGTTTCCGTGTTGTAGTTTGGCTAACTGTAACCTAACGCACTCAGCAAGTGGTTCACCAATGGGTGCCCTTCGCACTTTACCTGTGCAGTTGGTTTGTGTTCTCAGCTAAAATTTAACTATTGGAACGCATGTGATGGCTTACTAGTTGCGATGCTGCAGCTCTCTCGCTCTCGCTGCTGAACCTACTCTGTGACGCTCACTGATCGCCCATGCCTCAGTAGTAATGGGACATGATCATCTTCCTTTAAAATGAGCTGTTTGGTTACCCATTTTTTAGCATTTAATCCTAAATCTAATCGGGTTATCTGTGTGATATCGGGCCACATGAGCATCGTCGCGGTTTGGCATCTTGCAGTTCACCGTTGACAGCGAACTTTTTATACTCCACTTTAGCTAACAACCACGGGGAAGACATGTCACTCCAGATAATGGATCTTATCTGTTGCGTGACCAACTTCTGTTCCTAAATGCATCCTTCGAGGATGCATGGGGCGCAATATGTGGAAATCTAGAGTTGCCGTTTTTTAACAACCTAGACATGATCCGTTTAAATCGGTTTTCCCCCAACCCACCTGATTAACGTTCAGCGATCAGACGTGGTGTAAAGTAGAGCACTTTGACTCGCTCTGTACTGCATGATATGCCCGTGAAGCCGAGACTCTGGCTCCCCAGGTGGTAGCGCCCCTCCGGCGCTAGTAACAGCGGATGATGGCCAACAACTGTCGGTAGTGACAGCAGGGGTGGATCACTTTCCACGGTCTGTGAACCAAGACGATGTGGTTGAATGGCACATAATGACTTTTTCACACGCCACGGGTTGATGGTCTACTTAAGACTCAGACTAGTGGTATCCAGTGGAGAGCGAAACTGGCATCCACTACGTCACCCTAGTTGTGCTATAGTTTTGACCATCTACCCTCCCACCACCAACAGCCAGACGCATTGCTAAGGAACTTATACCGAGTGACCGACTGCAAGAGATGAGTGTGCAGGCTCGTGGACTTGTACTTGGGTTACTCTTCCTTCTCTTTCTCTTTGCCCGTTACTTAGGACCAAATCAGCCAACCGGACCGTGTTCTATTCGACCTTAGGTAAAACTCGATACGAGTCGCGCATCGTCGTTTGCTGCTCACTGGATCCCAGAGGTATCGACGTTTTCACGCGGTCCCCAGCCATTGGTCACAATGCGGTGCTCTCAAATTGAAAGTTATGCAATTCCGGCGAGTTGTGCAAAGCTGTTGTGTACCTTGGATCTGGTGTTCTGTGGCTTCTTCCTGTTTCGGTATTTTTATATTGACGACTCAACGCATTGGTGGGATTTCTTGCTGTCGCCAACGATAAATATGGCTGTCATATCTCAGTCACTTAGGGACCGAATCAACATGATTTGCACATCATGAATTTTGGCAGGTTGTATCATTCTCGAGCGATAGGATGTGTTCAGCTTTGCCGCATTGTCGATCCCAATATACCCCGAGTATCACTGATTGTTTCTGTTTGTGTGCATGCGTTTGCCTGCTCTCGGGTACCACTTCGACAGGTCTCCGTGCTTTCCTTGGAACCCACGTCTCCCACTTAGTTAATCCGCTGCATTGAAAACGAGATATTTTTCCTTTTTTGCGTGGTTAGTCAATGCATAAATCGGATTTCCGATCCAAACGTGTCCTGGCGCTTGCTAACAAATTACTTTATGACAGACCATCATTCCGGTAATCGGACTGCGTGAGCATCTGAGATGCAGTCGTTGCAAACGCTATTGTTTAGCTTTTGCACAGTGATGGAGTGGGTGAAGCGCTCAACAATATATAGTATTTCACAAACGATAGTGCTGCCATGTGGCACCCCGTCTGAGGATGTTTAGGCCTCTGTCCAGCGACATTCAAACCCTCGATCCAACCCTCTTCTCGAATCGTCCTCCGAGATGCAATTAAAGAGTAAGACTAGTGTTCACACCTGTTCCATTGATCTGGTTTTCTTACTTCACAGGTGCGCATACACACGTAAATCAGTCAGGTCGAAGACCGCTTTAGTCGCCCGGCCCAGTAACAGGGTGGTTCAGTGGCCTAGTGAATTCACTCTCCCCCTGACAGTTGGTCAAATATTTCGTCGAACAGTCGAGACTCAGCGTTGGTGTCGTTGTCGGTGTGTTCGTGCGGTGTGTTCATGGGTAATGGGTGAATGTACGTCTACGTGGCAATATTCACCACACTAGCGTGCTCGTTCCACGTATACAGTGGCATAAATTGATGGGGTGTGTAAGTTGCTGAGGTCACGTGATAGGTGCCACGGCCGATCCGCAGTGATGCGTATCGCATGTGTTTGTGGGCGCTGGCACACCGGACACCTTGTGCACGTCAGCCTGTGCAGCAGCATATGCAACTACACATGGTGTGGCGTATTCAGCCTCAAGCTCACAGTTGACTTGCTAACCTTGTCTTTGCCGCCGGCTGAATGCACAAAACAGGGCCACATCATTGTTGCAGCCACCTGTTGTGGAATGGGTGAGGTCCACCACCACACACCTGGGCTGACCGTGAACTGTGCGCCACCTAACCATCATCACTATTCCAGGTCGATACGCGAACAAAAATAACTAGGGCGGCTAAACAATCTGAGGAAAGAGGTGTACTTGCGACATAGGACAGTAGTACGACTGACAAAAATCTCGTTTGTTAGCGAGCCATTTGAAATGAATTTAGGGGATGGATATCCCCTGAGAAAGCCCACTTTCCTTGGCTTCAGTTTGATTTAGTTCATTTCAATCTATCAAGCCTGACTCGAACACGGATGTATGCTAGACCGGTTCGCCTTAGCCCATATCTGCGTGACAGATTGACGAAACTTAAACAAGCCTAGTGCAGTACCAAACGAAGGACCTAATCAAAGGGAGTGAAAACGCCGAACTGGAGACCTTTTAGTTCGAAGTAATCGACTGAGTACAAGCATACCACTAAATCATCTGCTACGTCATAAGTTATGACGCGGAGCAGTGAAAACCACAAGGATGCTGTCTCGCTGATGTTACCTTAGCTTCACACGGCAGCCTGCCATTTGTGTTCGCGTGTACTTGACCGAGTGTAGACGCGTTGGCGCTGGATACTTGTTTAAGGAATTCGGATTTCGCACTGGGTCTCCCTCCTCTGTACCTTGTTATCCTTCCTTTTTTGGATCTTTCGGTTGTCGGGCAGTGAGGCACGAGTTCACATCACTTATACGTTGTTATTGTTGCTGATGATAGTTACTATGATGATGACTACTGCGACATCTCCCATGTGAATGATCCTCTAGTAAATAGTGCGTATTCTTTCTGTCAATTCTTTCACTATGACGTGACATCATTCGTCATCCTAAGACCTCGCCTAACCTAAAGGTAGTTCCACGAACAGTATGATTTAACATGGGGCCGTCTGTAGACATGCGGAATACGCTGTGCAGCCGGCACTGGTGGTCTGGGTATAACAATAGACTCGGCGCAGCACAAGAGAGACGCAGCCACACGCGTTCTTGTTTACTTATACTATAATTGCGCTTCGTTGTCTGCAAAGCTCACTGTCAATCTGTCGGTTAGTACTTACAACCCACCCTCCATCACCTCCCTCATCCCTACGCTTTGTCTTTTCTTAATAGGCTGAAGTTTCCTCTTGTGTACAAGAGATTGTGACTTTCGGTATTTAATCACTTTTATCAAACTCCGTCACCTTTTCGATCTGTTGACCGCTAGAGGTGGTGCGAGTACAATGATGAGGCAGCCTATAGGTCAGCCGAGGTCTGGTGGCGACGCACCACCTTAACTAAACTTATCCGACAAAGCTCGAGTATGAGCTGGTCCCTCTCCCAGTTGAATAATATTTCAAATTTAAACTCTATATATGCATAATAAAATCTCCTTAAGTTGAACACCTAAGGGACTGGATCAAAATGGTCAACATGCGGAGGCCTGGGTCCATAAGATTTACATGATGAACATTCAATCAATGAAATATAAAACGGTCAACTTAGAAAGATGACCATAATATAGAGGCGATCAACCTCGAAGTTGTACAACTTATATATATTGTTAAAGATCTACCCTCCCGTAGAGTAAGCAGTCAGGGTGAGATCACTAGTAATAGCTACACCCTGCCTACACCACGTCTCTGATTCATGGCAAACGCAACCAGCAATTAGCGTGGTAAATTGCTTTGTCATATGTACTTAGTGTCCGGTGAGTTTAAAAGAGCACTTAGTCCTGTCCTGTCACATGGTGGAATCCAGATAAAAAGAACGGTTCATCTCTGGTATAATGAGACCAGCTGGCATTAACCAGCCTACTGTGGTATCGTGAAAGGCTATGCAGCAGCTTGCATCTAATCTAGTTACAGGTATGCTTTGTTCTCTGCCTGTGTAACGCGTCGTTAAATTTGAGAGCCTCAGTTATGGATAGGATCACTGCTCAACATGAAGCAACCTAGTCTCTTATCGTTGGTCGATGGCTGTTAAACTCTGCTGTCTTTAAAACTCGCTCATTACATACAAATATCACAGTCAAGTAAAGTGACATGCCTCTTATTGCTGTTTATCCTGGTGAGCGCTTCGACATAGTTCAATGAAAGCATTTTTGTCTTGTACTGGTAGAACATGGAGGCATTAGCTGCCCTATTTGTGTCCCTTCATTCACTCGAGCGAACATTTTCCTGGTCCTCGGTTTTTGTAGTCTGTGTGATAGAACATTGATTTGCTGTTTGCTAGATTGTGTTTGCTTGATCAGGATTGCTTCCAAATCTGTGGATACTTGGCCAAACGAGCCAATTGGATTGGCCTTTCTGAACTTTTAGAGAACACTGAGAGGATATACTTTGGTT